CAAACTAAAATGAGAAAAGAACAAAATCAAACAAAACGCAACCAATCAAAAGAAGAAGAAGCTACACAAAGAGCCTTTGAGAGGTCACGAAAAACCAACTTAAAAACTTGACAAGCCCAACACAACCACCTAACGCACGTGCCAAGTGTTGACATTCACAACCATGCACTATCCAGTGTTGACTTTCTCAACCACACAACTGTGCGCACCAAAGTTGACTCACCAAATGCACCTACCGAGCGCTGCTTGTACCTCTTTTGGCCGGCTCTGTTGTTTTGGGTGTTCCGGCGGCATGTCCGGCATACGGGCAGTATTTCCGGCATACCGGGCATAGAAGCTCCACTGAACCTCTGACACCAGTTTACCCGGCATATCCGGCATACCGGGCATACGTAGAAGCTCCAGAAGCGGGGCGATCTGCCGGTCTTCGAACCTTCGACTGTTCTAACAGTGTTATACAGTACTGCCCAAAAAGTGTTTGTGGGTTCCCTTGGCTTTTACGCTAGATGGAGTGGTTCCCTTATGTAGCTTTCTTCTTTTCAGTTTGGAAAGAGTCAGATTTCAGTTTTTTTTGTTTGGATGAAGTCCAACAGCGTTTTTGTGTAGATTTCTTTTTTTGCATTTTTTTTTTTCATTCTTGTTTTCTTCGCTTTTGGGCCTCAAAAAGTGTTTTTTCTTCTTTTGGTTTGGAATGGTTTGAAGGCGAGTTTTTGGTTTTCAGACTTTGAGGGATCACCTGATGATGCATGTGGTCGAATGTTTTCACTTGTAGACGTATCAGTGGTGCTTTGGCTTCGCCATCCATCTGCGGACGTAAACCTTTGTCTCAAAGGTGTTGACGGTTTTCAACCTTGTGGATGTGTTATGCTGCTGCACATCAAATTGTGTTGTTGTGACATTACACTGCAGACCGCCGCTGTGCGTGCGAAGGACGAGGCAACACTTTTTTCTCATAACATGTACAGTGCCGAAATCTGGAAGCCTGACTTGTCATGCTGCGAGCCTTTTTTCATGTTTTTGACCTGCGAACTTGTGTGTCTGGAATGTGATATGTCTGCATGGTTTCCGCAATCTAAGAGTGCGTTCCAGGTTTTGCGACTGACATGAGTGCAGATGCCTTCGTCACCAACAATTAACGACTTGGCTGGTCGTCGTCCACATCAAGCTTGGGTCTCGCAGTCGGCCTGACATGTATTTGAAAGTTGTGTGTGTTTATTGGTGTTTACAATATAAAGTGCTTCCGTGTACGGCGCGCGCGTGAACAGGGCTTCGGAGCGTTGTAGTAGCAGCTCATCGGGGTGTCAGGCGTCTGCGATTGCAACAGCCTTTGAGCTGGTGGGTTCCCTCGAAGTTCATCCTGTTGTTGGGAACACTGAGACCTCATTCATATGGCACAGACGCCTGAGTAATTGCGAATATTACACCAGCGAGTCCTGGTGTGTTTTGTGACACTTTGTAAAGGACCTTCAGATATGTCAACTAATTAATTAGCATACTAATTTCAAAGGATGCACCGGTAAGAATACGTGTTTTTTTGCCAAACCAATTGATTCCGTGCCCGGTTTGTTCCTCGAAAACGTGGCCATCCAAATGGTATGTGTGAATGGGGTTCCACCCAGGTGTCAGCGAGATTGATGACAAGTCCCGTGATACGGTCATGTGAGCTTTGGACACAGCCGTTTGGCTTAGATACTTTACTCTTTTCGTTCCGCTTCGTGGCATGGACAGTCCGCTCTTTGAACATGCGATGCCTCTGCCGCAGAAGCGTTCTGGCTTTGGCCTCCCTGTGCCAATTGATCCTTTCAGGCGCACTTCCGTACGATCCTGATACCGCTGTTGTGTTCCAGCTTGCTGATGGACAAGGGATTTACCGGCATGTGCCATTGATACATCCGTGTGATCATGTGCCAAAACACACATGCAGCGGCCACAGCGGTGGAAAGCCGGATTTTTTTCCAGCACCTTCGCTGAACTGTTCCTTGTGTCCAGAAGGCTCCGATTCCAGCGCGATCATGTATGCCGTCGCAAGACTTGATGGGGTGGGTGAGCGTGTGATGCAGGCCGTGATGTACATGGCGTCTGCATCGTTTTACAACTTAAGGTTTGGTGGCTTCTTGTACAAAGAATCTTATGACATTGGGCACCATACCCATGGAATGACAGCTGCAGACACACTCCATCTCATGACGGAGTACATGGGTAGCAACTTTTCTGCCTTACGCCTGCATGTTTCGAATCCCCGTTTTGATCATTGTTGGCGAGGAGGGCTAGAACAAGGACACAAGTTTAAACTCGTCGCCGGCGAAACGGCTTTGATCAACGACGACTGCACCGGACTGCCCGTGCGAAAAGATTTGTTCTTGCTCAACCAGCCTTTTCTCCGGCGACTTCGCCAGTCCACAACGCTTCTCGACCGTCCTACGAAGTATTTTGCAGGGCAGCTTCGCATTGCCATACATCTTCGCCGCGGGGATGTACTGCAAACCACGAGAGAGTGGTGGCCTGGTCCTGACCGTTTCGTGCCAGATGCAATGTACGCAGGATTATTGAGTCTGCTTAGAGGCCTGTTCGGAGCGGCTGAGATCCACGTATTCTCAACATCCAGCAGCAACTTTCCGAACGCCAGCTTCAATCGTTACAGGCACCCAGGTGTGCATGTGCACCTGGATGGCGACATTCTTGATGACTGGGCACACATGGCACAGGCTGATGTATTGGTGGTTGCTCCGAGCGGCTTCTCTTGGGTTGCTGGCTTGTTGAATTCGCGATGTGTCGTAACTTTCAGATCCTTCCCTTGGGGGTACTTACCACATTGGATACAGCTGAACGATGACTTCCGACAAGCAGGCCAGCTTCGATCCTGCCTTCGGGACAAAGGCCTTGCTCTCCCGTAGCTCTCGCCAGGGCAGCAGGGCGAAGGCTCCGAAGATCTCCATACCCGAAAGGAATCGATACTGGCGAGAGCAAAAGGGCAGTTTATGCTTGATGGCTTTGACTCAGAGCTTTAAGCTGTGGTGTCGCACTTGCTTCTGCAGTGTCGGCAGCTCAGGCTCCTTCCAGGACAAACGAAATCCGTCGCAAGTAGCTCATGCCGCATAGCATGGCTCGACAACGTGCCTTCTCAGCTGACAGTCGACTTAACAAGCTGTAGACCTGCTCCGCTTCCATGTCGCTGCTTGCATCCGAAACTCACGCAAAGGCTGCTGGTTGCTGATTGTCCATGCACGTGTGGAAACAGGAAGCATCTCTTGGCCGAGGTTGCGGCCGTTCAGAGCTCATTATCGGCTGTCCTGGCCCCAATCGCTGATACTCCCGTCAGAAAGCTCTGGAGACGAGAAAAGCCCAGGTTGAAAGCCATTTGGCTCCGCTTCTCGCTAAGAATCCGAAGGAGGCACCCTTCGTGTCTACAGCCGATGCCATCCATATTATCGTTGTCTTCACCATGTAAAGTTTCAGGTTGCTCGCCATCTCGGGGCCTTGGAGAATGCTGAGCTCCAGGCACGAGGCTTGTTTTGCACGGTCTACTCGCACGAAGATCAAACTGCCGTGGATCGGCAGAAGTCAGTTGGATGATCTTGTGCAAGATAGAAGATGAAAGCAGTAGATAGAATAGACTCATAGACAAGCGCAGATGAAATGACTACATGTATGTGTGTATTATGTATGTACACACACATGGGACTTTCTAGAGAGTGCTATTTCCGCCAGTTGCACCTTCTACATCCGAGGTGAGCCTTGCCTATGCTGCGGCGTCCCTCTATTTCTGCCACCTCCTGTCACAAGGAATGTCTGGCTCTTGCAGTTTAGGGTTTAGGGTAGTTCACCCTAATTCCGGCTGCGTGTCCTTCCAGGAGTGGACCCAAGTGACCATCCAATACGGCAGGAGCTTTGGTGAAGCTATCATAGCCGTGTGTCATTGTAAACAGCCTGTGCCAGGAGCTGGATCGGATTCAGCTCTACTTTAAGAAGGTCCGAGCGACAGCAGACGAGGCATCGTGGCACCCCATGTCAAACCCCGTCCCCATGTCAGTGAAACCCTAAACCCTAAACCCTAAACCCTAAACCCTAAACCCTAAACCTCTAGACCCTAAAAAGTGCTCAAGGCAGCCGAGAAGGAAGCTTCCCGCGACCGGATTAGAGTTGATGTCGATGTTGGGGCCTTACAGCCGCTTTAGTGCTCTGCAACTTGCCGTCAAAGATCCAGCCATGTTAACATGTATAAGCATGCAACTGCCCGGTGCAGTCGCCAGATATTGCTATGTCTGACAAGATGTCTTGGCATTATGTCCATGTCGACTGCAACATTGCAAGGATTGGAAAGCATGTCTCTGAATTTGAGAAACTGTGCAATGTGACACCGAGGCCGCTAAGCGAATTGTTCATCATTTTGCACATGCTGCAGAGGCCATGGGGCATCAGGGGTTTCATCGGAGGGTTCCATTCCAGGAATATTGTGGCCACAGCTTCTTCGCATGGGCAGGCGTCCGTCCAGCGTCGCGTCGAGGCAGCTGCTGGCCGAAGCTAAAAGGGGGTTTCCGAAAATAGGGGACCCTATTATAGTACCCTAAATGATAGGATCCCTATTATAAGGACCCCTAAATAAGGTACCCCTAATTTTCAAAAACTCCCAAAAGTCTAATAAATGGGCTTCACGTAGCTGGCCCAATGCCCGGGGAACAGTAGATGAGAAGTGACAGAGCAGTGGTGAATTCAAGACATTTCAAGACTGTAGGTCGTGATATGTTCCGCTGTCTAAGGGCTCCCATTGCTTTCAGCTCTCCTTCTCGGATCTGAACCCTAAACCCTAAACCCTAAACCCTAAACCCCTAAACCCCTAAACCCCTAACCCCTAAACCCTAAACCCTAAACCCTAAACCCCCTGACACCATTGAGATGGGTGCATCCAGGCGGCTGCCGAGGCGGCAAGGCCAGCCTCCAGCGAGGCCAAGCCTGGAGCTGACCTCCTGAAATGCGGAAGTTCCAAAACAGCAGCAACTCATATAGGGTTCAGGGTTTAGGGTTTAGGGTTTAGGGTTTAGGGTTTAGGGTTAAGGGTTTAGGGTTTAGGGTTTAGGGTAAACCACTCATATGGGAGTTTCCGAAAATTAGGGGTACCTTATTGTGGGGTCCTTATAATAAGGATCCTACTATTTAGGGTACTATATTAGGGTCCCCTACTTTCGGAAACCCCCATATCCTCGTGCCTGAGAGCATATATCCGGTGTCGGGCTTCGGTGGGCGTGCGCTGCAGGAGGTGAAGCCGCCGATCAAGAGAGCCGTGCGGAAAAAGATCAAGGGCAAGGCCGACACAGACAAAGACTTAGGAGACAGCATCCTGCCAAGACAACTCAGCACCAGCCACCTGCACTACAAGTCCTAGTCCTATCGCTACTGTGACCACGGGCATGTGTTTAGTCAGGCATATGTTGAGTCAGAATCGCAAGAACAAGTATAACCGCAACCGTACGAGCCAGATGTGATGATGTCGACGACGACGTGAATGACAGCCACTGCCAGGATGATGATTACTGGGGCGACGCAGATTTCAATGTTGATGCTGATGCCGTCCATGATGATGGATAGTGACTCTGGTGTAGCTTGCTGCTGCTGCTGATGATGATGATAATGGTGTCCCATACTGAAATAAATCATGTGGACCGTTGTTGTCACGACGATTCGTTGAATAGCCATTTGTTTTTCTGTGTTGATTTTTGCACATCCCTGATCGATAGCTGGATGCCAGGCTCCTCCTTGAAGCTGCAAAACAGTACCCTGAGCCGACTATCGTCGGCCATTGGAGTGCATCAACGAAGTTCATGTGCTCACATACCGAGATCATAGCAGCTTCCTCCTTGATGGCAGCGGACTCATGAAGTTCTGGACAGTCGCATAATCACATGAAGCCCGTGCCGGTCTCACTTGATGGTGATATGCAGGCATTGAAGGAAGCGTGCAGGGAAGTTCGGGTTTAGCAAGCAGCCTTGTTCTTGGACTTGCAAAGTTGATTCCGTGGTGCCGTGCTCGGCCATGCGACTCATTCCACGGCCTGGCTCCAGCCGTCGTCATTCTGCCACCATGGCCACGGCTGCCATGGCTCTGCCGCCCTCTCATGCCTATCCGGCAAGGAGGATCCTGTTGTGGGATTGTTGGCTGGATGGGGATAATTTCGGAACTGTCTGCACGAACCGAGCCTAGAAAACAACATGCGGGCACTCGTCCCACTATCTGAGCTTGAGCCCTCTCTGGGCAGGATCGTCGTCGATAGCCAGCCACGCCCTTTCCCCAGCTCCGAGCGGATCAAAGTTCGAGGGAGCTTCCTTGCTTCGTACGCAGCCCCTCTTGAAGGAAAGCCCTTGTGGCATCCCCCTTCCAAAAAATTGCCGACTCGCAGAGCCCGAGGTGTCACGAGCGGAGCATCTTATGTGGTCGGGCCTGCATGCAGGCGGGGAGTCGACTGAGGAAGGAAGATCGGTTCAATTGTTGTGTCCGTCGCGTCTGTTCCGCATCCCAGAGCCAGAAGAGGGAACGACAGCCAGTGGAACCCTGGTCGAAACAAGCTCATAGATCAACATCATTACGCATACGGCCGGAAGCCAGTCGTCGAGACGATGCTTCTTCGCAAGGACTGCCACAGCTACCCTGCCGGCTGAGAGGCAAAGACTTCCTCATGATTGATGGAGCTAGTGCCAAGCCCCACTCCCCACTTAGCTTTCCCTGGGTTAAGGCTGTCTGTGAAGCTCCGCTTGATGTACCGGGCGTGACTCGTTTCGATATCCGATCTGCCTTGGCAACAGGTCACTCTCGAGCGTGGCTGCAGACAACGGCAGGCATCGGCGTCAGCTAGCGTTCCCTGCAGTCATTACAAGAAAAACAAGTTATGCCCTGCATTGGGAGCTGATCGTGCAGGCCTGCTGCCACCGTTCTCAACGAAAGTCACAGGCCCACCTGACTCAGCGAAATCGTTTCAACTCGAAAACATTTGGTCGGACTCATTTCGCAAAATGCCATAGATGCTGCAGGCTGCTGGCTACACCGTCGGTAGGGAGCAGGTTCCGCTCTGCTGCCATAGTCCGCTTCTTGGGATCCCATGTGCTTGGAGGCCACCTGCCGAGCAGAACAACGCTGCGAGGCGATGTCATGCTCAACTTTGTTCATTCGACAAGATTGCTATGTCCTCGATGCGGTACTCCAGCTGGTCGGACCGTGACCGGATAATCTCTGACTGACGCTATTCCTTGGATGCTCTTGAACAAGCCGACCGATTCTGCCCTGTGTCTAATGCCTGTCCTGACTTACACATTCTGCACGTCCCTGAGTGCAGGGAAGCTTCTTCAAAAAGCAGGACCCTGAGCTACTGGGAACACGAACTTCGAAGGGCAGTGCAGTGCTTTGATAAGCGATGCATGGTCTTAGACCGGAGCTTGCGAGGTTCATACCCCCGCGTGTCCTACCATTCTTCCACGCATGGTCAATGGATCAATGCAAAAGTTGCGCTCTCAGCGTGCTCACGCAGTGTGCAAGAACTCGATAAACCCGAAAACCCTGAAGCCCCCGAAGCTCTTAAACCCTAAACCCTAAATCCGCCCTAAACCCTAAATCCGCCATAAGCCCTAAACCCAAAGCCTGGACGGTTCTGACCTTGAGGTGGTCGCGGCCGATCCGCAAAAAGGGGCTGTGCAGATAGACAAGAAGCCAGGCCTGGCATATATCAGAATTATTGCCGTTATTTTTTGCTTATGATGATACTTACAATAAGAATTACCATACTACTACTCAAATAATAAGTATCAATGTATTTATTGCTATTAATATTACTATACTTATGATTAAAATTAAGGTTATTGTTATTAATATTTTATGCTTATGATTATAGTTACAACAAGATTAAATCTAATATAAAAATGAGAACTTGTAGTCTCATTGTAACATAGTCATAGCTGATATTATTTTTCATTCTTTAATGTACTACAACATGCCGCATCAGATTACAACATACTATAACATACTATAACCTGTCATGTAGTATACATTGAAAAATCGTAATATACTAGGAATTGCTTTCACGGACTATAGTATACTATGATGTACTGTAATGTACTGTATTGCAGTTTGCTATAGAATGCCATGGTCTACCACAAAACAGTAAAGTATGCTAGAACATACTATACCATACTACAGTAAACTGTCACTTATGGTAGCATACTATGGTATACTATAAGATATACTATTAGCATACTATGGTATACTATAAGATATACTATCCCGGCATCTCGGCTCTAGTGACCTGCATTGCAGTACACGCGAAGCATTGGTATCCCATGTTACGCCCTCGCTTGCGCAGAGGAATATGGATCTCGGCTGAGGACTCTCGATTAAGGACCGGTTGTGGTGTCGACAGCGTGTGCATGTGTGTGAAGGATAGGGAGGTGAGAAGTACATATAACATTGCATACGACCAGGATTGGCCACGGTGCGGCTGTGCAGCAAGCTGCCATGGACAAGGTCAAAATGGCTGGAGTCGATGTAATATGTTGGTGATGCAAGCATGCTGACCGACAGCAAAGGCGACAGATGCAGTTTCAATAGTTTTCATTACAGAGGCTCAAAATGTACTGCAACCGCGGAATCAGGCGCGCGTCGTAACCCTACCGGTGCCAAGCGTGTCATCGTCGGTGCAGAGCACGGAGCCTCTGAAGGAGGCGGATGATCCAACATGTCTGCACCCGTGCCAGCTTCTGATGAAAAATTGCGCTTCTGTAGGTGTCGGTGCCCAGCACCAACGGCGTCTCCAAGGCAGCTCAGCAGGAAACGGCCGCATCCGCTCAGGCTCGGCAGTGTCCTGGAGCGATGGAGCAGAGGTTCCAGGAAGGGAGCAGGGCTGTTGAATTCGAGGCCGTGAGATTCCCAGCCCCTCGGATTCTGGGCGGCGTGAATGGCATCAAGCAAGAGAACGCCTCTGTGCTCCTGCGCGGGGCAGAACAGGCTGTGGGCTGTGGCTCGAAGTCTTACGATGCATGCCACATGCAGGGAACGTTTGGGTGCCGTTTCTTTGGTGAATGTGTCTGTGCGCAGGAGGTTTCCAGGCATCAGCCTCTTCAGCCCAGAGGCACGGCAGAGCGCTGACAGCTTGCGTGTGCTGGAAAGCCATTGCAGGTGCGGTCCCTAGTACCACCGTGGGCGGAGAGGCGCCCAAGGTGATCGGAGGACTTGCAGACGGCCACTGCCCTTCCACGCCCGGGCCACATCTTCACGCTGCGGCCTTCGGGTGCATTCGGCGTCTGCGACTTCGCCTTTGACAAAAGGTCTTCTTCACCACGCAAGTCTTCGAAAGAGAAGCCCTCACCGCAGCGTGCTGGGGCCCAAACGCAGGAACTCGTGCAGCTTTTGCCGGGAGATCTTTGCAGTGAATGTCTGCACTTATCCCAGGCTCGGATCATCGTAGACACTCCTGCCCCGGAGGATATCCGGGCTTGGACAAGAAATGACACGAACTTCAGAACGGCTAAAGTACACGGTTCACAGTTA